AAGTAAAAACTTTTTTCAATAAAGGATATTTCTTTTTCAAAATGAAATAATTAAAAAAATAAAAAAAAAGTGATGTAATTTTATCCCAATAATTTAAAAGTTGTAGATTAAATAATTTTGTTCCCTTTCTGCTATAACTTAATCTCAATTAATCCCTACATGTCATATAGTTTCATTATTAGTTTCCTTCTAATCAATATGATTTGCTAATTTAACTTTACATCAAATCCTAAATTACTGAAAAAAAAAACACTACATTACAAATTTAATTCCTAAAATTTTGAAATTATAGACTCCAAATTTAAAATAAGTCCATAATTTTTTTTTTCTATCTAATAAACTTTTTAACTTTAATTATATAAATTTAGTCTCTAATTAAACTTTTAATTTTTAAAATAAGTCCATAAAGTTTTTTTTGTTTTCTACCTAATAAACCTTTTGACTTTATTTATATAAATTTAGTCTGTAATTAAACTTTTAATTTTTAAAAAATTAACCGACAATATACTAAAGAGTATTTTAAACTTTTTTTAATTTGTTATAAATATCTAAACTAAATATAAATTTTAATTTCCAAGTGCTAAGAGTAAAATAAATTAATGAACTTATAATTTAGCCAAAAATATTAAAATTATAATATAATAGCAGTAAATTTTAACTGTTTTGTTAGTGCGAGAACGTACCGGGATTTGCAGACGGCTGGTGGAAGATCCTGCTGTTGTTGCACGCATGGCGGTTAACGAAATGCCGCGGCCTACTCAACTCTTCGAGCACCGATACTGGACTAGGATCCTGCTGCTGTTCCCAAGCCATGAACTCAATCCTTTTTCCTTCACTGACCGGAGACGACATTCGGAAGCTCTCTGTCGAATCAAGCGCGTCGATGAACTCCTTCAGCGCCTTCAGATCCTGTTCGCATTTCTCCAAAGCTTCCATAACCTTCCTCTGCTTCTCCGCCGCTTCTGGAACGCTTTCCTCCACTTTGGAGCTTTCCAGTCCCATCAATCGCACGATCGGACCTCTCGCTCCTAAAAACCTCTCCACAGTCGTTGTAGAGATTGCGGATTCGGATCGTTCTGCAATTGGCGGCGAAACGGATGAGGAAATTAGGAGATTAGCGGCGGATTCTGGTTTTGGAGATCGAGAAATTTTCGATTCGGAACTTGCATTGTCGAGAAATTCCTGATTACTGTTGTGTACTGAAACAGAGAGATTACGATGAAATTAGGTCGAATAAAAGGAATTAATGAAGATTACGACGGAGAAGAAGAAAGTTTACCGAATGTGATGGACTTATTGCGGCGGCTGTGGTTGTTGTTGGAGAGGAAATGGAGGAGGTTGGAGACACAGCCGAAGGATTTGGAACGGCGGCGGCTGAGGCTACGGCGGAGAAGGTCATCGGAAGAAATCTCAACTTGCGAGGACGATGATAAGAAGCTGTTCTGCCTCTTCATGGATCTCTGAGAGACTGAAGCGCTTTGAAACTGAAACTCTGATTTGCTGTCTTTGGAATTTAGACCTTCGGCGCCATCATATATGGAAATTCATTTCTTTTTTTGGTATTTCTTTTAATTCCAATTTTTTGTGTTTATGTTTTTTAATTATCATTATTTAAACCCTAATTTGTGTTTTTTTTTATAAAAAAAATATTTAGATTATTTATTTGCATAATAGTGAAAATATACTATAAAATTCAACGAAAAAATTAAAAATAATTTTTAAAGAGTATAATTAAAAATAATAATAATTGGCATTTTAATTGATATTCATATATATATATATAATAATATTATAAGTAATAAGTTATTTAGAAATATTTTAAATGAATTATTTCGATTAAAACATAAGTTATTATTTGCATATTATTGTTTTTATTTTCTAAATAAAAATTAAATTGAGGGGTGTAGTATTTAAATGAATGAATTAATTCCGACAAGTAACATTATGGAAATGTTATGAAAATATTAAATTAGAGTAAATTAATGTTTACTAATATTGGAATGTGACATAAAGTTTGACCACCAACATAAAATAAAGCGGCTTTGGGTATGGCGGAAATTAATGATGATTGGCACGGGAACTCAATGACCTTAAACACACCCCCTTCCTTTCAACCACACCATTTAATGGTACACTCAGAACCCACACCCCAAAAAACATAACCCTCGTACCAAAATGTCCTGGTTCGTTCGGTTTTTTCTATACTGGTTACAGAGGGAATGAACTGTTTCTTATGAAAGCGTGTAAACCTCTCTATATACGTGTTTTAGAATCGTGAGGTTGACGGTGATATGTAATGGGCCGAAACGGACAATAGCTACTATGGTGGGCTTAGGTTGTTACAAATGGTATTAGAACTAAACATTCGGCGGTGTGTCAGAAAGGGTGTTGGGTTTCTAAGGAAGTGGATTGTGAGATCCTATCGGTTGGAGAGGGGAACAAACGATTTCTTATAAAGATGTGGAAACCTCTCTCTATACGTGTTTTAGAACCGTGAGGTTGACGGCGATATGTAATGGGCCGAAACGAACAATATCTACTAGTGGTGGACTTAAGCTGTTACAAATGGTATCAAAATTAAACACTGGGCGATGTGCCAGTAAGAACGTTGGGCTGTTAAGGAAGTGAATTGTGAGATCCCACATTAGTTGGAGAGGGGAACAAAGGATTTCTTACAAGGGTGTGGAAACCTTTTCCTAACAAACGCATTGTAAAATCGTGAGGCTGACAACGATACGTAACATGTCGAGGGGGATAATATCTACTAATGGTGAGCTAGAGCTATTACATATAGTATTAGAGCCCGATACTGTGAGGTGTGGCAGCTGAAACGCTCGGCCTCAAAATAGGGTGGATTGTGAGATCCTACCTCGATTGAAAACAAAACGAAACATTTTCTTGCAAGGATGTGAAAATCTCTCCTTAAATTATTACGTCTATTTATATATAATTTATTGAGCTTATTAGAAAAATAAAATCACATAATTACATTTTCTTAAAAAATTAATAGTAGAAGAGTATGAACAATACAAGTAATAATGCACTGGGATGCTATTTATTTTCACAATTATTTTCTTCGTACATTTATATAAAAATAAAATCTTAGTATAATAAAAACAATTCATTTAAAAAAGTACATATTAATGATTAAAAAAAAAACTTGTAAAAATTCAATAATTATATTTTAATTATAATTTCCTCTACCACATACCAACAAATGGTCCCGTAGCTCAGTTGGTTAGAGCGTTGGTCTTATGAGCCGAAGGTCGCGGGTTCGAGCCCCGCCGGGACCATTATTTTTCTTCCATTTACTTTCCATGACAGGCCCTCAATCATTTGTCTTTTTTTTTTCCCCATAAATTGAACTAATAAATCACATTAACCTCTTATAAATAAATTAAATCAGTCAATCAATAATATTTAACTCGTTTAAATTAACATATTGAATTCATTACATTTATTAAATTAAAATTTTAGAATTTCAATTTTTAAAAATGTATAGAGTATATAATCAAAATTTTTAAAAAATTTATTCATCTTTTTACGTCTTTTTAAACTTTTTTTCGAGTAAATTTTTTATTTTTATATTAATATAATATGCTAATTAAAGTAATTGAGTAATGATTCGATACGATATTGGCCTCTAAAATAAGCATTATGCTTCATGCTAAGCCATCAAGGTCCACAATCATGCCATTTATTTTTTATTTCTTAAAAAATAAAAAATAAATGGTAAAATATTGACATGAAATTAATTGCAAAATTATTTCATTATAAGATACATCAATTTTAGGGATAAAATTGGTAGAAAATTGCTCGAAGTTAAATTTGTTTCTAAAAAATTGGACATGTCTTATATGTAAAACCGATTAGAATAATCAAATTCCACGTCATCTTATTGACACATTCGATAGGATAAGTGATACCAAATAAAACTCTTTTAATTATTATAAAATAAAATAAATAAATAAAAACCAACCCATTCAAAGTTGACTTTTATTCTTATTTTTGTTAATTTTAAAAAATAAATAAAACTGTAACTTTGACTTTTCCTCTAATTATTTCCAATTTTAAATGTCTATTTTAATATTTAAGATTTTAAAAATAACCATTTTAATCTCTAAAATTTAAATAATATTCCCATTTTATTCATATTTTTAATCACATTCTCTATTAAATAGTTAATGACAAAATAATAAAATATTTTTTATCTAAATTTTGAATATATAACTTTTATAATAATTATGTTTATTTGATTTTTAAATATATAATAATAATGGATCTGACAAAATGTTTTATATAATGATTTGATTTGATTCAATAAAATATTTGTTTAATCCAATTTTTGCTTCATATCTTGACTCTTCATTATTTTATTTTATTTTTTATTTCTTAAACCTGGATTTATATATTATTTTATTTAGGAATCCAAATGAGACCTTTGTTGTAAATAAAATAATAAATAAATTAATTAAATTACAATTTTAACCGTTAAGAAGTAATTAATAATATAAATTAATTTTCGTATCTATGCACTTCAAAAACCATGCTCCCATTAGTCAATTAATGCTAATTAAGAAGTATCCACTAACTTTAGGATTAAAACATCAGTATTTCAACATGATTCCACTGATCCGACAACCCAACTCAAACCGAAAATAAAAGATTGGGTTGAATTGGGTTGTGAGCTCTATTCGAGTTACTCGGGTCATCAATTCAATCAACTCGAAATTATGGGTTTGGTCTAAATGATTTTTCTAACCCAACCCGTGTACATCTTTATAAGTATCGATTAATCCTTAACATCGAAAGTTGAACCCTCGAATTTGTTGATACTGTCAACCGAGATTCTACGGGTATGGATTAAAATATATATTACGCTTTAAATTAAGCTAAAAGCCACATGTTCTAACATGCCCTTTTTACTATAATATTACATGTTGAGTTATATATATATATATAAAAAGTGGAAAATATTGCATTATTTGAGTTTCTCTCTCTCTCTTTTTCTCTCTCTAGAATGAACCCAAAAACAAAGGAGGGAGGGAGAATGATTGAGGTGGGGGAAATAGGAAGAAGAAGAAGCTTTAGCTCAAGTTTCGGGAGGCGCTCGGTGGCGGAGGAGGAGGAGGAGGACGGTGATATTCAAGATGTTTCTCTCTGGATGTCGATCGAGAGATTGCCAACGTTCGAACGACTGAGATCGTCATTGTTCGACGACGCTCGGGGAGAAGCGGAAAGAAGAGTCGTGGTCGATGTTACCAAGCTTGGAGATGAAGAGCGCCATGTCTTCATTCAAAACCTCATCAACCACATTGAGAATGATAATCTCAAGCTTTTGAGAAAAGTGAAGGAGAGAATCCACAAGTAAGCCCTTTTTTGTAATTTTAATTTTAATTATATTAAATATAAATTACAAAATTAAATTAAATTAAATTAAATTAAATTTTAATTGAAGGGTTGGTGAGAAATTCCCAAGGGTGGAAGTGGAATATAAAAATGTGAATATTGAAGCTAAGTGTGAGATTGTTCGAGGCAAAGCTCTTCCCACGCTTTGGAATTCGCTTCAAACCAATATTTTTGTAAGCATTTTTTTTAATTTTTTTTATTATTTAATGGGGAAAAAATATAGAGAAATTTAAATAAAAAAGATAAATAATTGCTATATTTTAATTTTAATTTTATTATTTTCTTGTAATTAAATTTTAAAAACTATTTTATTTAGTTGACCTAATTAATAAGAATTGGAATGAGATTCTTTATTTTATTTTTTTATTTTTTTTTAAGAATCTTATTCTTTTAAAATTTGTCTTTTAATGAATATTGTATGACGTAATAAATGGATGTTTTTTTGGATAAATAGGAAAAAAAATTAATATCTGGGAATTAATTAAGTATAAATGAGAATTTAAATATTTTTTTAATTCGTCTAACAAAATGGGAAATGATTATTGGATCATTTTAAATATTTTTCTAGAATTTCTTGATTTTTTTTTTAAATTTTAATTTTGTGTTTTATTTTGTTAGGGTATTATTAATTTTTGTGGTGGAAAATCCCGTGGAGCTAAAATTAATATAATTGAGGATGTTAGTGGTGTCATAAAGCCCGGAAGGTATTTCTTTTTTCTTTTTCTTTTTAAATATTCACCTCACTTATTTGTTTATTTATTTATTTTAATTTAAGGACTAATGGATAAATCATAAAAAAAAAATAAATAAAAAAAATTATTGAGGAGAGTTGTTAAAGAATAAATAATACAAAAATGATTATGAAATTAAATAAATGTATATTTTAAAATTAATAATAAAATTTTTATTTATTTGAACCAGAGTTAATGGAATTTTTAAACCATGGTTAAAGGAATGAGTTTGATTCAGGTTAACTCTGCTGCTTGGGCCCCCAGGGTGCGGTAAGACCACACTACTAAAAGCCCTGTCGGGAAATCTTCACAAATCTCTCAAGGTATTCTTTTTTTTTTTTTTTCTTTAATGCAAAACTTTAATTCAACTTTTAATTTCATGAGATTGTTACAATTAAAATCTAAAATATTGCAAAATGTACAAATCAACTATGAATCATCGAGGTAGAAGACTTTAGCCTTTTTTTTTTTTTTTTTTTTTTTTTTTAAATTTTAAAATTTAAATTTATTTATTTAAGAGTTTAATGGTATAATTTGAAAAATGTAGTTATTTACTACTAATCTTATTTTCACCGAAAAAGATGACAGGAGAAATTTGTTACAATGGGCAGAAACTTGAAGAGTTTGTCCCCCAAAAAATAAGTGCATATATAAGCCAATATGATCTACACATTCCCGAGATGACGGTGAGGGAAACCCTTGATTTTTCAGCTCGGTGTCAAGGTGTCGGAAGTCGAGCAGGTGGGTTTACCAATTTTTTTAATGTATAATTGAAGCTTCCCCAGTAAATTATTTCGTGGGGTTCGGATTCCCCGGGAATAAATCATCTTTATTTAGTGTTTGGTAATAATAAAAAAAAAATCAATTAAATTAAATATGTTGTATGCTCGGTAAAAACCCATTTTGTGTGGGATTGTTTGGTTTTTTACTGTGCAGATATGATGAAGGAGGTTTGTAAAAGGGAGAAGGAACAAGGAATTATTCCAGATCCTGATGTTGATATTTACATGAAGGTACATTTTTATTTTTATTTTTTATTTTTTATTTTTTATTTTTTATTTTTTTATTTTTTTATTTTTTTTTATTTTATGTATTAAAATTAAATAGGCCACTTCTGTTGAAGGACTGAGACAAAGTCTTCAAACTGATTACATACTCAAGGTCTGTTCTCTTTTATCCAATTTCCATTTTTTAATGTTTTTTTTTTTATTTATTTATTGAATTTAAACATTAAATTTGAGTGAATGGTAAAAAAAAAATGTTAATTTTACCCAATGTTACCCAAATTTACCCATCGATGTTGCAGATTCTTGGGCTTGATATTTGTGCTGAAACACTGGTAGGGGATGCTATGAGAAGAGGCATTTCAGGTGGCCAAAAGAAGAGATTAACGACCGGTAATCTTGATAATTAGCTTTCGAAATACTCGAGTTCTTTCAAAACCTGCAATAATATTTCAAAACTACTTTCGGAGTGTAGAAATTTGATAGAACGTTGAACGGAATTGTGACACGAACGAAAATTATGACCGAGATATATTGTGGTGACCTGAAATGAAAACCGAACACGTTTTAGAAGTTGATTGGATTGAAATAAACTAAAATAAAATAAAAACATGCAGGAGAAATGATGGTTGGTCCACACAGAGCTTTGTTCATGGATGAAATAACAAATGGATTGGACAGTTCCACAGCATTTCAAATCGTTTCTTGTCTGCAAAATCTAGCTCATTTTACAGATGCTACAATACTTGTCTCCCTTCTTCAGCCAGCTCCCGAAACCTTCGATCGCTTCGACGACATAATCTTGATGGCTCAAAAGAAGATCATATATCACGGTCCTCGTGATCGAGTTCTTGAATTCTTTGAGGATTGTGGTTTCAAGTGCCCTGAGAGAAAAGGGGTAGCAGATTTTCTTCAAGAGGTCATTTCCAGAAAGGATCAGCCACAGTTTTGGCACTGTAACGACATTCCTTACACATATATCTCGGTCGATGCATTTCGTACAAAGTTCGAGTCGTCGAGGAAGCTCGAAGAAGAGGATGTCTCGAAAAGCCACTTGGATGATGATGATGTCTCCATGTTGGATACTGACAGTGTTTCTAAATGGCAAGTGTTTAAAGCTTGTGCATCAAGGGAACTCCTCCTCATGAAACGAAATTCATTTGTTTACGTCTTCAAAACGGCTCAGGTTAGCATGTTCTAACTTAATATTGGTTGAACGATGAGCGTAATCGCTAAGCTTTGAAGTTTGTGTCTATATGTTTGACTCGAGCAGCTTTTTATCATTGGTTTGGTCACAATGACGGTGTTTCTCCGAACACGAATGAAAGTCGATCTCGAGCATGCTAACTACTACATGGGAGCCTTGTTTTATGCACTTATTTTACTACTTGTTGATGGGGTTCCAGAGTTGGCTATGACCATTCAAAGATTGGAAGTTTTCTATAAACAAAAACAATTCTACTTCTATCAAGCATGGGCCTATGCAATTCCCACAGCCATTTTGAAGATCCCTCTTTCACTTGTGGAATCATTAGTATGGACATGTCTTACTTATTATGTTATTGGCTTCACTCCTCAGCTCAGTAGGTCAGTTTTGATCCAAAAACTTGAAGTTTTATCTTTGTTTTAGTGTTTCTAAGCTGTGAATGTTCTGTTTGATAGGTTCCTTAAACAAGCTGTTCTTCTGTTTGCGGTGCACTTAACATCATTATCTATGTATCGGCTGATAGCCTCAATCTGCCAAACCCAAGTAGCTTCCATGACAGTAGGGGGTTTTGCAATATTGTTAGTCTTGTTGTTTGGTGGCTTCATCATCTCGCATTGTAAGTTTTTCAATCACTCTTGTTTAAAAGACCGAGCGAGTGAATTATCAATATTAATTGAGAAGAAAATGACGGTGTTTGGTGTTCGAGTTTTGCAGCTTCCATGCCTGCTTGGTTGGGATGGGCTTTTTGGGTTTCGCCTATTAGTTATGGAGAAATTGGCCTTTCTGTCAATGAGTTTCTTGCTCCGAGGTGGCAAAAGGTATAAAACTTGTGTTCGACACTCATTTCTATGATTACGTAAGATACGAATCAATCGACAACTTAGAGCCTAGCTTGACTGATCGAGATGTGTATTTTCTACCATGAGGTCAGAGATTCGAGTCCCTAAGTATGATTGTTTTGTGCTCCAACTTTTGTAGGTACAAGCTACAAACACTACAATAGGTTACGAAGTGCTTCGAAGTCGAGGACTCGATTATCATCAATACTTGTATTGGATTTCACTTGCAGCCTTGTTCGGGTTTACACTCGTTTTCAATACTGGATTTGTCTTGGCTCTAACTTTCCTCGAGCGTAAGTCTATTACAAGTTTGGTCTCTAAATTTTCGTGAATAAGTCTTTGATTAACAAGTCTATTTTACATTTAGCTCCCGGGTCGTCTCGTGCGATTATCTCACACGAAAAGCTCTTGCAAACAAAGAGCAGTGAAGAAGGCAATGACAGTGCTAGTTCTGTGGAAAAAGCATCTTCTCCTAAGACCAACATAGAATCCAGAAAAGGTCACTTATCATTGTGATTGGGTTTATTGATGTTCTTCTGTTTTGATATGTTTTTCATGATCCGGTTGCTTCAAAAAACAGGAAGAATAGCTTTGCCTTTCACACCTTTGACAGTAGTGTTTCGAGATTTGCAGTATCATGTGGACATGCCATTGGTAATACTCTTCAAACTCTTAACCAAATTAGCTTGTTTGTGAGATTGTTTTCGGCCTATCAAAATTGTGATGTTGGTTTTAGATAGAGATGTTCATGGGGTAGGGGTAGGGATAGGGATGGGGAAGCTTTTCTCGTCCCCATCCCCACCTCCTGTTTCAATCCCTATCCTTGAGAAAATTTTCACTTAGTTTCGTGCGGCGGGATTGGAACTTGGGCAGAGGTGAGGGCGGGGACGAGAATGGGGATATAATATTGTGAGATCCCACATCGGTTGGAGAGAAGAACAAAACATTTTTTATAAGGGTGTGGAAACCTCTCCTTAGCATACGTGTTTTAAAAACCTTGAGGGGAAGTCTGAAAGGGAAATCCTAAAGAGGACGATATCTGCTAGTGGTGGGCTTAGGCCGTTACAAATGGTATCAAAGCCAGACACCGGGCGATGTGTTAGCGAGGAGGTTGAGCCCTGAAGGGGGGTGTACACGAGATGGTGTGTCAACAAGGAGCTAGGCTTGAAAGGGGGTGAATTGTGAGATCCCATGTTGGTTGAGGAGGAGAACGAAACATTCTTTATAAGGGTGTGGAAACTTCTCCCTAGCAGACACGTTTTAAAAATCTTGAGAGGAAGCCTAAAAGGGAAAACCAATATCTAGTAGTGGTAGGCTTGGGCCGTTACATAATCCTCTTCCCCATCCCCGGCCCTGTTGGCTAAAGAATAGAAATCTCTCCCTGCTCTCTCCCCTTTTCCACTCACTCCGTTTCATGGTTGAAGTACTAACTTTTTGTTTTATTTTGATTCAAGGAAATGAGAGAACGGGGTTTCACCCAGAAGAAACTCCAACTCCTTTCAGATCTAACAGGGGCTTTAAGGCCTGGTGTCCTCACGGCATTGATGGGTGTAAGTGGAGCTGGGAAGACAACTCTGCTTGATGTTCTTGCAGGAAGAAAAACATACGGATACATCGAAGGAGATATCAAAATTGGTGGCTTTCCTAAAGTTCAAAAGACATTTGCTCGGATATCTGGTTACTGTGAACAAACTGATATACATTCTCCTCAAATAACAGTGGAAGAATCACTGATCTTCTCTGCTTCGCTCCGTTTAGCATCTGATGTCGACTCAGAAACAAAAGCGGTATCGTATAGCTCCCCCTCTTTAGCTAAAACTTACATGTGATATCTAATGTTGATATTAGTTTCTTGTTTCACAGCAATTTGTGAATGAAGTCCTTGAGACCATTGAACTTGATGGCATAAAAGACATGTTGGTCGGCAGACCGGGTGTTAGTGGTTTATCGACCGAGCAGCGTAAACGGTTAACCATAGCTGTTGAGCTTGTTTCCAATCCCTCTATCATCTTCATGGATGAGCCTACCACGGGTTTGGATGCAAGAGCAGCTGCCATTGTCATGCGAGCGGTTAAGAATGTGGTTGATACTGGAAGAACAATAGTTTGTACCATCCACCAGCCGAGTATCGACATCTTTGAATCGTTTGATGAGGTAAAAATCTTTCAAATGCTTTTTCTTTATAGAACTATCCATTTTCTAAGGCAGCTTCGGCTAGAAATCACAACTCTCTACGATGGTCTGGTATTGTCCACTTTGAGTATAAGCTCTCGTAGCTTTTCTTTGGGCTTCTCCGAAAGGCCTCATACCAATGGAGATGTATTCCTTACTTATAAACTCATAATCATTCCCTAAATTAGCCAATGTGGGACTCTCTCCCAACAATTCTCAATAGCTTCACACCTTTCTGTGCAGATGATTCTTTTGAAAACTGGTGGTCGCATGATCTACTGCGGACCACTCGGACAACGTTCAAGACGGCTTATAGAATACTTTGAGGTAAGACTGCTGTGCTACTAGCAATGCTGCTTGTGACCATATCTTCTCTCCTCATTGTTTCTATTACACGCACAGCATGTTCCTGGGGTTTCAAAGATCAGAGAAAACTACAATCCTGCAACATGGATGCTAGAGGTTACCTCTCCCTCAGCAGAATCTGAACTCGGCATAGATTTTGCTCAAGTATACAAGAACTCGACTCTCTATGAGTGAGTAACGCTCTATAACTTTGTTTTTTGTTTCAATTTCGACTCCAAATAGTGAGCGAGTTTGAAGTAAATGTTTTGGGAGTGCAAGTTTCAGGGAAAACTTTGTCGAAACTTTTGAAGTTTAGTTGGAATCTATTGTTCGCACGTCACAATGATGTAACTATTTTATTATCTACTGAAAAGAAGAGTGAAGGACATAAAACATTATAGTGGCCCAAGTCCACCACTAGAAGATATTGTCCTTTTTAAAACGCGTCTGCTAAGAAGAGGTTTTCACATCCTTATAAAGGGTGTTTCGTTCTCCTCCCCAACCGATGTGGGATCTCACAAACATACTTTTCTATGATATGTTTTGCAGGACTAACAAAGAGCTTGTGGATCAGTTGAGCAGTCCGCCTCCTGATTCGAGCGATTTGCGTTTTTCGAAGGTCTTTTCCCAAGGTTTCATCGGACAGTTGAAGGCTTGTCTTTGGAAACAAAACTTGTCATATTGGAGGAGTCCTTCTTATAACTTGATCCGTTTGATGCATACACTTGCATCGTCTTTGATGTTTGGGGCACTATTCTGGAAGCAAGGAAAAGAGCTGTGAGTATTTTTATGCAATGAATGTGAAAGCTTTTGGTGCCATTTTCCAATCCATTTCAGTTGTCAAAGTGTTAGGAGACTGATAAGAATGAGCAAACTTTGTGTTGTCTTTATGTCTGTGTTTGAAGAGAAAACCAGCAGAACTTGTTCAATATTTTCGGTTCGATGTACACTGCTGTAATCTTCCTTGGCATTGACAATTGCTCATCAGTCCTTCCTTATGTATCAATGGAGAGAACTGTGATGTACAGAGAAAGGTTTGCTGGGATGTATTCTTCGTGGGCTTATTCACTTGCGCAGGTACATTTTCATTTTAACTTGTTCAACCCTTTTGATCCTAATGATCTTGCTTTTAGCTTAAATTATAAGTTTATTCCCTTCGATCGTCAAACGAGACCAAAACCATTATCGAAGCCGTTAGCTGACATTGTCTTCTTTGGGCTTTTCCTTTTGAGCTTCCCCTTAAGGTTTTTAAAACGTGTCTGTTAGGGAGAGGTTTCCACACACTTATAAAGAATGTTTCACTCTCTCCCACCAACGTGGAATCTCACAATCCACCCCCTTCGGAGCCACCGTCCTCGCTGGCACTCGTTACCTTCTCCAATCGATGTGGGACCCCCCAATCCACCCTTCTCCGAGACCTAGCATCCTTGCTGGCACACCACCTCATGTCCACCCCCTTCAGGCTCAGTCTTCTCGTTGGCACATCGCCCGGTGTTTGGCTCTTATACCATTTGTAACAGCTCAAGCCCACCGCTAGCAGATATTGTCCTCTTTGGGCTTTCCCTTTCGAATTTCCCCTCAAAGTTTTTAAAACTCATCTGCTAGGAAGAGGTTTCCACACCCTTATAAAGAATGATTCATTCTCCACCCCAACCGATGTGGGATCTCACATAAATATTCCACGAAGTAGCAAAGAAAGTGGCTTCCCCCACAACTCTAAACCACTAAAATTCCATTTTTCTTAACGTTTTATTTATGTTTGTAGCTAATATGTGAACACATAATCCAGTTCACTGAGATTTTAAGCTCTATATATTGTGAAGTTCTATAAAAAGTTATCAAATTTCAAAACTCTGTCTAACTTTGCAGGTGCTTGTGGAGGTTCCTTACTTGTTAGTACAAGCAGCTACCTATGTTATTGTCACTTACCCCATGATTGGATTCTATGGCTCGGCATCCAAAGTGTTTTGGTGTTTCTACTCAATATTATGTGCACTTCTCTACTTCAACTATCTTGGGATGCTGCTTGTCTCCATCACACCAAACTTTCAAATTGCTAACATCTTGTCGTCTGCCTTCTACACTATGTTCAATCTCTTTTCTGGCTTTCTTATTCCCCGTCCGGTAAGCCATGGCTCCTCCTTGATGCTCTTTATTTTGCCTCGGACACAACAAAGACTATATTATCATGTGTCTGTTTAGCATACTTAACAAGTGTTTGATACGTGTCTCACAACTAGTGTAAAACACATCCACTACGCTAATAAGTGTTCGATATGATCCAACAAGTGTCTTAGCGGGTTGGACATGATGAATAAAAAGGAAAAGTTTGAAGAAGTAACGACCGAAATGAACTGATTAGTAAGGTTATTCATAGAGATAACATGTGAGATCTCACATCGATTAGAGAGGAGAAAGAGTACTAGCGAGGACGTTGGGCCTCGAAGGGGGGTGGATTGTGAGATCCCACATCGATTGGAGAGAGGAACGAAACATTGTTTATAAGGATGTGGAAACCTCTCCCTAGGAGACGCGTTTTAAAAACTTTGAATGGAAGTCTGAAAGGGAAAGCCCAAAGAGAACAATATTTGCTAGCGGTGGGCTTGAGCTGTTATATAACGAGTATTAGTTAGGATCTAGCTTCCTTTTCTATCATCTCCATGAAAGCTCGGTTTTTCAGTAAATAAAAGTTTCTCTGTTTTTATGCAGCAAATCCCAAAGTGGTGGACATGGTTGTATTACATGAGCCCAACATCATGGACTTTGAATGGCTTACTAACGTCACAATATGGAGATATAGACAAGACACTGATGGGGTTTCAAGAAAAGACAACAGTATCAGCTTTCTTAAGAGATTACTTTGGCTTTCACCACAGACAACTTCCCCTTGTGGGATTCATTCTCATTCTCTTCCCTCTTATTTTTGCTTTTCTTTTTGGATTTTGTATTGGAAATTTGAATTTCCAGAGAAGGTAAGCAAAATCAATTTCTTCCTTGCTTTCCTTTGTAGATAATAAATTTAGAGTTTTAGGGTTAAATTACAAGTTTAGTCCCTATTATGCACGGGACAATCTGAACCTACTTCGAGATGAAAGGAACGAACATAATCAAAGTGAGTAATACGAGTATTATTCGGTTATTATCCCAACCCATAAAGATTTTAGTCTCTATAAATTAGAGTAACATCCTGCTACTAAACAACAGCAGCAACAAGAGTTTTGTCTCGAAGAGTTTTGTCTCGAATGAAACATTCTTTATAAGCGTATGGAAACCTCTCCCTAGCAGACACGTTTTTAAAACCTTGAGGTTTAACCCAAAAGGGAAAACCCAAAGAGAACAATATTTGCTAGCGGTGGGCTTGAGCCGTTACAAATGGTATCATAGCCAGACACCGAGCGGTGTGCCAGTGAGGACACTGAGCAATGAAGGGGGTGGACACCAGGTGGTACGCCAACGAGGATGGTGAGCCCTTAAGGAGGTGGACACTAGGCAGTGTGTCATCGATGACATTGGGCCCTGAAGGGGGTGGATTGTGGATCCCACATTGGTCGGAGAAGAGAACGAAACATTTTTTATAAGAGTGTGGAAATCTCTTCCTAGCAGCACTTTTAAAAACCTTGAGTGGCAACCCAAAAGGGAAAGCCCAAGGAGGACAATATCTACTAGCGGTGGGTTTGGGCTGTTACAAATGGTATCAAAGCCAGACACCAAGCGATGTGCCAGCGAGGATGCTGGGTCCCAAAGGGGGGTGGACACCAAGCGGTGTGTCATCGAGTACGCTGGGGTCTAAAGGGGGGTGGATTGTGAGATCCCACATTGGTTGGAGAAGGGAACGAAACATTCTTTATAAGGGTGTGGAAACCTCTCCGTAGCAGACATATTTTAAAAACCTTCAGGGGCAACCCAGAAGGAAAAGCCCAAAGAGGACAATATCTACTAGCGGTGAGTTTTGGCCATTACAAATGGGTATCAAAGCCAGATACCAAGCGATGTGCCAAAGAGGACACTGAGCCACGAAGGGAGTGGACACCAAGCGGTGTGCCAACGAGGACGCTGAGTCCTAAAGGGGGTGGACATCAAGCAGCGTGTCATGAGTACACTAGGGCCTGAAGGGGGGTGGATTGTGAGATCTCACATCGGTAGTAGACAATACCTACTAGCAGACGCGTTCTAAAAACTTTGAGGAGAAGGCCGAAAGAGGATACTACCTGCTAGTAGGCCGTTACACTAAACTTCTTCGAATCGAATCGTTAGTTCCTCTATTGTAGTAATGTACATTTGGTATCACTGAAAGCAACAAGCAGGTCCAATCTGCTAACAGTAAGTCACATACAGGCAGCAGATCTAAGTATAACTACAAAAGGTATCAAGTCTAACCAAGTATGAATGCTTTAGGTCAGTTTCCATAAACTAGTAATAATGAAGAATCCTACGGTAGAACCAAAACGAGAAGTTGTAATTAGAACTTTTGACGAAGTGATGCGCTCTAAGATGGAGCTAAATTCATCAACATCATTTCCAGAAAATAGTTGCAGAGAATCAAAACTGGAAACATAACGAGTATGAACTGTAGATGAAAAGAACTATAAAGTAAAAACATATATACTTAAACAAAAGCTACAAAAATTTCGTATAATAAAGATTAAGATGAAGAAGATGAGGAGGAAGAAGCACCTCTTCGCCATTAGGTTTGCAAACAGTCTCATCAACCTCCCTGGTGATATCAATGGTGCGTCGAATCTTGATAGGAGGAGGCTAAAGAAGGAATAAAAATGTAAGAGAAAGTCCGAATATCTGAGAATCGAAAAAAAATAAAATAAATAAGAAAAAGATAATAATGGCCCATGCAGGTTTCGAACCTGCGACCTTCGCGTTATTAGCACGACGCTCTAACCAACTGAGCTAATAGGCCATGTCTTCAAACGTGCGAACTCATGTAATTGATGTTAACTGCATCTCCTTTTAAGTAGAAAGAAACAAAATGGCCCATGCAGGTTTCGAACCTGCGACCTTCGCGTTATTAGCACGACGCTCTAACCAACTGAGCTAATAGGCCACATTTAAAGGATGATTATATTTAAATTAATTATTTCATTAAATAACATAATTTATTATTTCGACGATATTTTCAATTAAACGATTGAGACGGATGATTTTTAAATAATCAATAAACAATTTATAATTTTGAAGATCAAGACGGAAATTTGAAATTTATCTTAAATTTTCAATTTCTAAGTTAAATAAGACTTTAAAAACTAAACCAAAAATAATAATTTTGAAACCTTAACATTTATTTTTATTTAACTTTTTTTTTAGACAAATTTCTCGACTAACTTTAAATATAATCAATAGCGTAACTATCATGCAAAATGTCAACTTAATCTATAAATCAATTAAAATCGTTCGAGAACTTACATTACTTTAGGATGAACTATTTCTTCTTAATTTTATATTTAAAAATAAATATATCTCCCGTAATTATATAAAGTATTAAAATAATTAAATTTATCTCATATAAAAGCTTCAATAATATCTTTCGATTTTAAAAAATACCTTTTAATTTTTAAAACTATTTAAAAAATATAATTCATACTCTTAAAAAAATATATATAAAAAAAAATAAAAAATCTTCGAATACTAAATTGGTGTGAATAAAATTTTTTACAAAAAGTTAACCTAAATACACTACAACAAACTTGAGGTTTGTTGAGAAGTGGCGGAATGAACTACTATAATGAGTCTAGTGACTATAGAGTAGAGTTGAGTCTAAACTTGAGGTTTATCGAGCATCTGAACGGACTACTATATAGTTGAATTATGTCCAAACTTAGAGTTTATTAAACAGTCGAACCGACTACTATAGTGAGTCTAGTGGCTATTAGAGTTGAATTGAATCAAAAGGTAAGGTATAGAAACTTTTTTGAGCGAGCCAACGAGAACTTCTATATACCCTCACAATGTGACAAAGAGAGGATATTAAGAGAAATAGTAAGTGGAGATTCTCCCATAAAAGCCGGATGAGCGATGCCCCCCCTCAGCAATTCCTTTGAGTTTCGGTCTTGCGACTGTACTCCCCAGGCGGAGTGTTTCACGCATTAGTTGGGCCCCTGATCCACGTAGACCAAGTGCGAACACTCATCGTTTACGAAATGGACTATCAGGGTATCTAATCCCGTTCGCTCCCCATACTTTCGCACCTTTAAGTCCGATGGTCCGATTTAGAGATGCAGGATATCTTGACCCTAAACTCAAACTAAGATTTAATAATGTTTGTGCGAATTAATAAGATTTTTATTTAATTAGTTAAAAATTTAGATGCTAAATTTGTAATTTGGGGGAGAGAGAGGACATTTCTGTAGTCGGGTCGGGTTACGTGGTGGGCCGACGCGGTGACCCGAAAGATCGTATAAATATCGCCGTCCTCTGCACGCGATCTATCCGCTGCGCAACTAAAACTCCGTCTCTTATTTATTTATTGTTTTCGTATTTAATTAAATAAAAAAAAAAGAAATTAAAAAACAAACAAAAACAAGAAAGAAGAAGAGAGAGAAAACGTTCGTCTGGTTCTGACGAACCATCTTGCCGAAATCAGAATTTTCATACGCTCTTCTCTTCCTTTCTGAAACCCTAGAACAGACAAATTCCAATTCCATTTTGATCCATCGGAGACTGCATATCCGCCGCAGTGTCCCGCAACCACCGTCGCCGCCGCCGTCCCACACTTCTACTCCAACCATTTGATCACATCATCGACCTCTGAAATTCACTATCAACTGCGTTTCTCTTCCCTCTAAATTTTGGAGATTTTGTTGATTTCCGAGATGACGGTTCTGAAGCTAATTCACCCACCGTCATCGGCCTTCTGAGTCCCTTCCAGGTGAAGCCTAGTTATTTAACTTTGTAGGTTCTTTTGTAGCTGGCTTCTATTTTTGCTTCTTAATTATGCTCGGAATATCTGGAACTTGTATTTTTTACTTGCGTAGTATTGTTTCCTTCAATGATATGTTATTCCATGGAAGCTGAAAAACGGTTTTTTAAGTGCATGGATCATATATTCCCAATTCTTGTTGCTATATGATTTGGAGCGTTATTTGTGACTTAAAATAAATTACGTGTTATATCTTAACATACACAGAATAATAACTTTGTGCTGAATTTTAGAGAGGGTTCTACTGGATTAGTTGTTGGAGTGTTGATCAGCTGCCTTGTTAAAATCCCATCTTGTTTTTTTTTTCTATGAAGTTGCTGAAATATAATGTAATTTTTCGCAGAAAGGTTCTCCAAGCTGTATCTGTCCTCATCATGTATCATGCTAAGAAATTTTCAACTGCGAGCTTAGTGCCACACAAATCTCAAGGTGCTGAACAAGGTGCGAGTGCTGCGGTTCTTGGTGGATCTTCAGCCAAAAGTTCAATGCCACCTGGAGGAGGTGGAAAACAACGCTTGCGATGGACATCAGATCTTCATGACCGATTTGTCGACGCCATCACACAGCTCGGTGGACCAGATAGTGGGTATTTTCTTTAAAGTAATGTTATTATGCATTTGCTTTCATATTAATTTTCAGGATTAGAACAGGGGAAATTTTTTATGAAGCCATGCATCAATTTCTTCCCAGTATTAGGTTTGTTAAATGTGGTTATGTGTCTATATTTTTTAATGAGTTCATGGGGTTTCAAATGAAGTAGTGTAATAGAAAAGTATGGAAGGGTTAAAGATCATGCCATAAGTTCGATTATCTCAACAAAAGTGTCTATAAGGTGGAGTTGATGTACATATAATCTTGAAGATTAAATGTGGTTCTTTGGTCCTATGTCGAGGGACTCATGATGGGTGCTAAAAGGTCAGCACACTCGATATGCCTAGATTTTTGGGTTTGTAAGAGGCAAAAAAATCATGAATTGGAAAAACAAAGGATTGAATTCATACATTCTCATATTACTTAGATCCCCAGGGGGTTGAAAAGCATTCTCATAGGTCAGTTATTATTAAGTATTATTAGTATTTGAGGAGTTTTAGACATGGTTGTTTTCTCGATTTTGGACAAAGTGTAAAGTCGAAGGAAAAATATTTGAGAGAGAACCATTACCCTTCAACTGGTCTTCCTAAAATTTGGTATTGCAACTATTCCTAAATGATGCGACTCTTGAAGCCAAGAAATAATTTAGTTTGAGAATGTCCCTTCACAATCCCCTGGTGGTATTTCAGAGGATCATTAATTACCCTCACCTTGAGGATTCCACATTTAGCAGCCACCGCACTTCTCCAAAATGGCATCTTTTCATAGCAAGTCTCCAAAGCCGCCTACTTTGCAGGAGGGAAATCTTGTTGAGAAGGTTGCCAAGGCCAAACTTCATGATAGAACGGGTAGGTTCATCTTGCTCCAAGCTACCAAAATGGGCAAATAAGAGAGAAAGCATGTGGGGGAGAAATGAGAGAGGGAGAGAAGTTTCCAAGAGAGAGAAACGGGTGATATTGAATAGAGAGGAGAGATAGAGAAGAACTCTCAAAAAGAGAGAGAAGCCGGTGGTATTAAATAGGGAGAAAGAGAAGTTGCATAGGGTGAGAAAAGGGTGATATAGAAAGAGAGAGGAGAGCAAGGAGGGTGGGATATAAGCTGTGCGTATATAAATAATATTAATATTTCCACGTCAGATTATACACCCAGTCCACTTTATATATAGTCAACTAATAGTCAAAGTGCTCCAAGACAAAGCAACTGTTTATTGTAGGGTTTAAAATGTCCGTTTGGGAACTATAGTGGGCAGACAGAAAGCAATCTTTAGAACTTGAGGACACAATTGTACAACCTGTTGAACAGATCCTGTTCGAGCAAGGTCGTGACCACAACAATCTCAAAACTATATGAATTAAAGGGTGTTTTTCCTTTTTCTGTTTTGTGCCCCCCAAATTTTTTTTGCATGTATCTACGTAATATGCCCCCAACTATTTTGGGGGGGGGGGAGACATTATCCAAAATGTTATGCAGAAGAGGCTTCCCAATTTGGCCATCTCTCCATGTTGCTTCGTTATGTGTATGAAAACTCTGAATCCCAGGAGGACCTCTTCAATTCTGTAATGGAACAAATTCTGGCTTAAGGTCCATGCTTCCTTTGGCTGGCAGACTGCCATCCATGAAAAGTCAATATTCTCCTCCATGCTTCCCTGGCTGGCCATCCTTTCAAAAAGGAGAAAGTAATCCTGGATCAGAGCTTTTCTGCGGGCTCTTTGGTGAAGGAAGAATAGAATCTTCAACAAGTTTCGCCCCTTTGAAATCTTTTTAGAATGTTGTTAGTGCTCTTGGTTGGTGTAAATGTTTCTACCGTCCTTTTACAAATTATAGAAGGATCTCCTGATGAACTGGCGGGCGTTTTGTAGTCCTCAGTTGCTTGGGTATTCCCCCTTTTTGTATGTCTCGTCGTATCAATAAAATATCTGTTTGTCGTAAAACAAAAAATTTTGCATGCCTCATCATGTGCAGTCCTTTTCTGTACAGACTATTTTATACATATGTATGTATGTATTACTACTACTATTATTTATGAAACCGTGCTTTTATTGAAAAATGATAAGTACACAAGGACACAGAGAAAAAACGAGCTCGAACAAAAGGAGTTTGAACTTAACTGTAGAAAATGCCTCTAATTCGAAAGAATAAGTTCAAACTCGTAATTACAAATAAAAGACCTCAAGGAGGCGTTGTAACTAACCGAGTCCCAAACCTTCCCACCCGATCTCTCAACCTCTCTAAAAATTCTATTGCTAGACCACTTGGAAGTACGATTAGTAAGATATTTTCAATTTTATCTATTTTTAGTAAGATGGAAATTTGCACATTTCAAATTTTGTGCTTGAATGCATTTTCTTTGTAGGGTTGGCGTTTCTACTCAACGATGATAAATAGTTTACCAAAATATTTCCTTCCCATTGTCTTGTAGGGGCAACTCCTAAAGGTGTTTTAAGAGTGATGGGGGTACCTGGTCTTACCATATACCACGTCAAAAGCCATTTACAGGTACGTCCATTTAGTGAATTTATCAGCTATGATGCAACTATTTTGAAGGGTGGTTGCCGCGTTATGGACTTCGGTTAATGAACTCTTTTGTAATTGTGATCTTGGTTTGATTTTGTTGGATTTGAGAGACCCTTTTGTAGTTACTTTTGGGCTCCTTGTCCGTTATTTTTGTCGGGCTCCTTTGTTGCCCTTGTATTCCTCTCATTCTTTCTCAATGAAAGTTCGGTTTATGACCAAAAAAAAAAAAAAAAATGATCGCATTTTTATTCTTTCAGAAGTATCGACTTGCAAAGTATTTGCCAGAATCTCCAGCAGATGGTAAAACAGTCTGTTTACTATTGTTTTCATTCTTCTATTCAGCAACGACTTCTTGTCTGTCTGTGGAGTGTATTGATTTTCACTTGTATCATCCCTTACTGGCATGTAGGTTCGAAAGATGAGAAGCGAAGCTTAGAGAGTCTCTCTGGAACGGATTCCTCTTCGTGAGTATCCATTTGTATTTAGAATTCCTCTTGGGACTTATTTTTACTCCAGTATGTTGTATGACTTGCATCGTTCTATTAAACTTTCCACCCTTCAGGGGCCTGCAAATTAACGAGGCGTTGAGGATGCAAATGGAGGTTCAGAAACGTCTTCAAGAACAGCTCGAGGTCTGGACTCCCTCATCATTTATTACTCTTCCCCTTTCCTATTAAAGGTGTTGAAATATCTTCTGGAGAGGAAAATACTCTTTCTCATAAGAGAACTTTTAGAAAATGAGTTTTAGCCGGAGATTTTGAAGGGTGGAGTTGGTGAGATTATTGTCTAGACAAAGGCTTGGGGGATGGGGAATGCAAGGAAACAACACGTAGATAATGAGTGTATATTTGTGAGAGAAAGTGTCGTCTCAAACGGTTACTGCCACCTTACGATCTTGCTGTTCGTTTTGCTTTATCGGAAGGAAGCAGCCTCTCCATGGTCATTAGAGCGTCTGTTCTTTAATGGGTCTAAAATTTGAGATTGCTAAAAATTCATAAGATGGTGGAGGTGAAATGTATCTAGGCATCGATGAGTTCGACGACGAAATTAGTTCAGAAGAGTGTTGCTTAGAAGCAACCCAGAAAAGAACAGCCCACACCCATAAACCAAATGCTTCCCCTAGAATGATTGATCATTTAGTTGCTAGAAAATTCTACATTTCAAATGATTTTGTTTTGCTGGATTAAAGTTGAGCATTTGAATTTAAGATTGGATATCATTTCTTCGTCTTGGTTGTTATGTATGTTATTAGAATCTCAAATGCTTAAGAAAGTACCTAAAAAGAGCTTGGTTTGCTTGAATCTCGTATCAGGTTCAGAGGCAATTACAAATGAGAATAGAAGCACAGGCGAAATACTTGCAGAAGATCATCGAGGAGCAACATAAATTAGGCGGCGAATTGAAAGACTCCAAGGTGTTGCCCTCAGGTGAGGAGGACAATAAGCAAAAGACTTGCCAGTCTGAGTCGTATGGCGATGCATCTGCAGGACCGTCATCTCCCCGAAAGAAACAACGAGTCGATTGTGGATCAACAGATGATTCTGCCCCATCTCCATCTATTAATTTACCTGAACTTACCTGAATAAATTTGTGGTCGATAGGACCGAGAATTGTATGAAAAAGTAACATCCAGATGACGGGTTTGCATTAGAGTTAAAAATCAAATCTAAGGAGAAAGAAGGCAGACCAGCTGTATCGAGTGTACCTGTGAAGTTAAGATTCAATTTGTGGTTCGACGAGTACTGTGTTATTGTCGACTTCGTGAAGTCGTCGATGATGTCTGTAACTTTTGTATATAAATTTGCACATTGAACCTATTTGTAAACCTTATTGAAATACTCCTACATTAGCAGTTTCTACTTTGCAGCAAAACACGCACGTTTTCTGCCGTTTTTTATCAGTCGTGTATTCGCTAAGCTGTTCGATCGTCACGAACCCTCATCATCTCATGATATTATCTGTTTTAGGAGATTGAGATGAGTTTATGAATAAACTATACCTTTTGGTGGGATTCTATTCTTATGTGCTTATTTTTTACCTTTCTTTCTTGCCATTTTTTCAAAACCATTATAAAGTTTATAAATTTAGTATTAAATTCTTTAAAAAAGAAAAAGAAAATTAAAGTCCACGTGGCAGCTTTTGATTGGTCAGAAAAAGAGAAAGAGGCGCTTTCAACGTGGCATGTAAACAGCGCCGATTTCGCGGGAAGATTTAAAAAGAATTAGGGCTGTGATGGTGAATGAATATATAAAGCACTGGACTCGACTCACAGTTCTAAGCTCCCACATTTCCCAATCTCTTTCCATTTCCATGGCATCTTCCGAGAAGGAAGCGGCTCTTGCAGCTGTTCCCTCCGATTCCCCCACCATGTAAGCTTCTTTAAGTGCCGTTGCCAACCAACATTCTGTGTTTTTAGTTTTATATACTCTGTAATTTGTCTTTTTTTTTTTTTTTTTTTTTTTTTTTTTTTTTTTTTTTTTTTT